ATCTCAAGAGGATGACTGTCACCTCGTTTGGGTACCTGGCCACTGCGGCTTTATTTTAAATGTAAAAGCCGACTTTCATGCAGGGATGGCTCGTGTTGATGGGACAATTTTGTCCATCAAATATACTCCCAATGAAGCAATTCGGGCAATTCGCAACCACATCCTTCAACAGCTAAACGACGAATTTAAAGAAATCGCGCGTGTTAAATCTAATCGCCTTTTCTATAAATTAAATCCCACATTTCAATTCAAACCCTTTTCTGTATCTTCTTTTATTTCTTGGGAAATCAAAATTCTTTATAGACTCATGAATGGTCATACTTATGAAAAAGTTCATTTAAAAATGATTCGCGCTATACCATGTGATGTTTGCGAAGTTTGCAATGTTGTTGAGTCTGCTGATCATCTAATCTTCAGATGTCGCAGGCTTGATGGCCTTAGAGATTCCTTTAGCTTCTTCAAATTATATGGCTGTCTCCTCGATCTCTTTGCAGCAAAAAATGTACGTCATCTCGGGGAACTAACTTGCTTTATTAGAAAAGCTAATTTATCCTTTTAGAATTTTTTTTTTTCCTCTTCTTTCCTTTTTTTTCTTTCGTTTTTCTTTGCAACACTGTTTGACTTTCAAGAACTCCACAACCACAATTACACACACGTACACAATTACACTTAATATGCAGGCTCCAAATATTACGGCCGCTCTTGTTTTTGTTACGTTTTGTACATAATTGTGACCAAAAATTACGACAGTTTATTATCTGGACATATAAGCCACAAATCTATTGGCTTCGTCCATCTCCATTCAACATACCAAAAAAACAAAAAAATAAGAATGTTATAACAATTCTCATCGAATTTAAAGAAATTACTTCCCATTCAATAAATAATCTGTAATCATTTATAATAAAATTTATTCCTAATAAAAATAAATTAATTCTAATAAATATTAAAATAACTAAACTAATAGTACAAATAGATAAATTTTTAATGAATTAATAAGGTATTCCTTATTTTTGACACCACAAATCAATGCTTTAATAAACTATTTAATTATAGTCACAATATACATATATATCTCTTTATAATAAGTAAATTTAATGGAAATCAATGTATAAGAAATAAAAAAATTCACGAATTTTACCATTTCTGTCCATCTATAAGAACCTGAAAGTTTTCCTGATGAACATAACCCGTGAACAATTATTAAAGTATAAGATCCACAAATCCCTATATAACTAATTGTTATTAATCCTGAGAATACAATTCCTATATGAGCAACAGAAGAGTAAGCAATTAAAGCTTTGAAATCTACTTGTCGTAAACAAATTAAACTTACTAATACCCCTCCAACTAACTGAAGTTCAAATATAATTGTATTTTAAACCTATAATCTGAATAAAACTTATTACTCGTAATAAACCATAACCTCCTAATTCTAATATAATTCCAGCTAAAATTATTGAACCAGAAACAGGACCTTCTACATGAGCCTTTGGTAATCATAAATGAACTAAAAATTTTGGCATTTTTACTAAAAAAGCTAAAATTATAGAAAAATATATTTCATAATCAATTACATAATTATTCAACAAGTAAAAATTTAAAGAACCTGTTAAAACATATAAATAAAAAATATCAATTAATATAGGTAAAGAAACTAATAAAGGATAAAATAATAAATGAACCCCTGCTGTAAACGCTGGGGTTGATAACCCCATCGTAAAATCAAAAATAATGTAGGAATTAATCTTCTTTCAAAAAATAAATAAAATTTGAACAATCTCGTTCTTCTAAAAGTTATAACTAATAACAATAAATTTAATTTTAATAAATTATAATAATTATTTAATTTAATTAAATAATAACAATAAATTTATTATAAGAAATTCCAAAAAAAATTTTTTTTTCTTTACTATTTCTCTAGCTATGATTATAATACAAATAATTCACACTCTTAATAAAATTAATCCATAAGAAATCATATCATAACCAAATAAATAAGAAATATTTATGAAATAATTTATTCGTGGCAGTTAGGGCTAATTTCATGCCATTTTCTCTTCGTATAAGATCCACCTAAGGAAGATTGGTCAACATTTCATTAACTATGGTTCCCTTCTTGATTTGCTATAATTATAGCCGTTTTTGCCGCATCCTTATAGTGCCACCTAGCCATATACAATCGGAATAAACAACGCGGACCTCTTGTTGAACCATCCACTTCGCCGTCTATAGCCGTCGAATAAAGCCTGTGACTCTTCGTTATTAAAAGCACTTGACTTCAATAAAAATCTCAACGCTTTCGTAAACTCCCTGGCCAAGATATAATATTTGTCAACATTTTAGCATATTCTTGAGCTTTATCCGTTGCGGATTTGTCATCAACCAATTTGGAAGATGTTTTGTATACCTTGCCTTTTTCGCGATTGTCTTCCTCTACGAATAATTTTAGATTATGTCCAAGGTCTTCCAGTATTGTTTTCAAATTGAAATCTACTTCTGGAACTCGCATCATAAGTAGCAGCTTTAATCTAAATTTTTGCGGATGGGTTAGGTGTTTGTTGAAATGTTTCCACAAATTCTTCGAAGGCCTAAAAATGTCAATTTATTTTTAATTACCTATCCAGGAAACTACGTAAAAACAGCTAATTTATGCAAAAAGGAGTTTTTTGCATTTTTAAATTCATTCCTTCCCGACAAAAAGAAGCATGTCTCATTCCAATAGTCTCTTTTTTAACGCAAAGGTGTTACAAAGCCGCTCAATGGGCATCGTGGAATATTCTGAGAAAAAATGAAATTATTAAAACGGTGTTAAAAAAACACTGTATTTGTAAACCTTCTTCTGTGTGCTTGTTTAGAAAGCTGGTACCGTAGAATTTCGCACTTCCTTGAATACTTTTTTAACACATTAAATACCGAATCGAAGTAATTCTTACTGGGAAATAAGTTATAAGTGGCCAATTTACATTAAATAAGAAACCCTGAGACTTTTCTGCGAAGTGGATACTAACACGCAAAACCAACTAATAAATACTATAAAAAATATCTTTAAATTCAGTTTTCTCGTTTCTTATGTTAATAGATGCGTACATGCGTTCTGATCATTCCGTCATTTGAAAGAAGCAATTAGATGGCAATACCGTGTTTTAAAACGATATAGGTTTGGCAGCGAACCATGCCGCATCGATTTGAACAAGGGTAATCAGAACGCGCTGTGTCTGGTGAGTACCCTGAATGCGACAAAGCTTCCCATTCGAGCAGCAGTGTATTCTTGACAACTCCTGCAATGTGTCGAGCGCTGTCATGCAAGAGGACGACTTTCAAAACGGCGTTTTCAGCCAATTCGTATGGTAAGCATTTCTCTGTTTTTGGAGCTTTCTCAACTCATGTCAACGGCCACAAACCGCTGAATCACCAACTGTTGAGTTGTTCGAAGTTTAAGGTGGAATTGGTTTGGGAGTTTGAGGTGCGGTTTTTCCAAATAAGTCCTTCAATTCGTTGCCTTCGAAAAATTTTGGTGCTCCAAGCCGTTCGTTATCGCCTACCTCAAAATCACCACTCTTAAAGCGATGAAACCAAAACTCACAATTGGGATAAATTTACTTGTATTAACAAACTTTTGTGTATTAATGGTTACTTGGGGAATATTCATTTAGTTTACTATTTTAAATTTGCTATTTTCTTTTAGACAATTTACCAGTTCATTCTTATTTGCTGTCTACAAATTTTTAGGAGATGATTTTCCTAATCCTAAAATAATTTTTCATTATTTATATTAGTTATATGTATGTACATGTTTTAATTTTCAGATTTAATTTAATTTAATTCTCTTTCTTATATTTTAAAAATTTGTATATCACTTTTGCTTGCTTTTTTCGTTTGCATAATTTATGTTATATATAAAATTTTTATAATACATTTCACCTTTTAAAAGGTTTTTAATTTTGGTTTTACTTTACTTTAACTTTAAGATTTCTATAGAAGAGGAAAGAGAATAAATAATATGGAGACTTCCAAAAGTACATTATTTAGGGTTCGTGATGTTTGAGAGAATCCTCTAGACATTTGGGGGTAATATAATTCATCAGTGAGACAGTGTTAGCAGAATTGCTGGTAATTAAATTGGAAGCACGCTCATCCGATTTATTAGTGCATTGATAAATTGCTTGAGAAGAGTCCTCTTCTAGAAAAATTAGGTGAAATGTTAGCCTCAGTAGGTAAGAAAAATGTTACTTGTGCTTCCTCGTTTGATTCTAAAAGCGAAATTTTCAACGACAGGCATGTATTCGAAGGCAGTGAATGCTTATTTAAAGTTGGGAGACCCATTTGCGGAGGGACATTTGCGACATTATATTGCTGACAAGACATATGGTTTAACTGGGAAGTTAATGCCTTCCAAACCGATGTGGGAAAGCAAAATAATCAGAAGAAGAAGACGTCAGTTTGATTGTTTTGTTAGGGACGAAAAAATTCTCTAAGTTATGCAAATCATGATATAAATTTCGGCCAAGCTCGATTATTGACAAACCATTTTTTCTGCACTTGATAAATACACTGTACTCACATCTTGTGTGGGTATAAACTCTGGCCCTGGGGATTTTGATGTCCCCACTCTCGAGGGAGGTGATGCGGCGTTGTGCCGAGCAGGAAGAGACGCGGATTTATTATTTTTATTTATATTTTTTGGAGATGTAGACAGGTCAGCGTGTGTGGAACCTTCTGGAGGAGATACCCTTCCACCTCAGCATATCCGCAACGAGAAAAACTTCACGGCTTATTTTTACTTGGATGTACTGCTCTTTTTTGTCAGCTGCATTGTACAAACAATTATCTGTTTTGTTCGCGCTTTGTGCAGAGTTTTTTTTCTACCACTTCAGCGTGGTATTTAAAGTAGTCATCAATCAGCAAATAAGCAATTTTTTTTTTGATCCGAGTAAAAAGAAATTGACTCTTCCTAAAATTTGATTTGATCCTTTTTTTTTTAATTATTTATTTTTTTACAGAGAATAAATTCTATCACAAGTGTTGACAATGTTTATTTAATTTACAAATTACACCAAACAATTCTTCTCCCGTGGGGATATACATAAATAAAAAAATAGAAGGTAAACGACGCTTGGCAACAACACGCTGGAGACATCAGATGCGTCTGAGAAAGTAGCAAATTAAACTATTTAGCATTACTACGGTACGATACTTCGCTAGATGAATACGCTTAGCTTAACTTTATGGAATTTCTTTAATTGGCGTATTGAACATTTGTTATTTGGCGGTCAAAAATAAACATATGGTATATTTGTAAATAAGGCAATATGGCTAGCGAGGATTTATTCGAAAAGGATCTCTCCGAAGAAATTATTACGACCTTGGAACAGGAAGCAGAGCCCGCTTTAAATTTAGAAGCAGGAAATTTTGAAGATGAAATTGACATCATCCCTAATGAAGCAGAAGATATTTCGCATGAAGAAACTAAGAAAGAACGTAAGTCTGATCTTTCTATCTATTAACGAAAATACAATACCTTTCAAGTATTTTAACGTTAATCTTCATTAAATCTGAAGTTCTTTTTAAGAAAATTTCCTTCAACTTTCAGCTTATAAATCTTTGAAATCGTCTTCAAATGAAAATAAAATGTTTCAATTACCTTTAACTCGTATACGTAATATAATGAAACTGGATCCAGATTTGAATATAGCTTCACATGAAGCAGTTTTTCTGGTAACCAGGGCTACAGAACTATTTATCGAGTCTTTGGCGCGGGAAGCTTACACTTACACTATGAATTCCAGGAAAAAGACAGTGCAGAAACAAGATGTTGACCTCGCTATAGCGGCCGTCGACAGTCTAATGTTTTTAGACGGTGCAATGGAATTTTGATGCAGTCGCTTCTATATATCAATTAACCTTATGTACGCCTTAAAATTATTAAAGTCTTCTGTGGAAAATGACTTGAGATAATGTTCCTACACAAACCATTTCCCAATATACCTGGTTTGTAGAATAACTTATTGTAAAACTTTGTCCTTTACTTGAAGTGATTAAATATGAAGTAATGTTATCTTTCAAATCTCAATAAACCACCAGACTGCACTAACCGCTTACACTTAAATTGTCTTATCCACCTTAGTGTCAAAAACATAATACTTAAATTAACATTTTGTTCTTCCACTATGAAGTAACTTACAATGTAGGGCCCCTTTTTAACAATTTCTCAATATTTGGTCTTAAATTATAACGGATCTGAATTTTGTAATAAACCATTATTAAATAAAACTCGAAAATTTCTTGTTTCTCAAATATTTTTTAATTTATTAATAGATAAAATTTGATTACATTTAATCTACTACTTACTTTTTGAAGTTATGTCCCTTCTGAACATGGAAAGTTTCAACGACGGGCTCTTAATTAATATGGTTCAAAATTAGTCTTATTAAATTCCAGTTTCGTCCATTAAACAGACTGGCCAGACCTGTGGAAAAGCCAAATCAAAATTGAATTAATTTGAAAAGTGAGAATTGGAATTTGTAGCATTATTTCACGCGACAGAAGCTATTTTAATAAAATTAATCTTAAATTTCAAATTTCTTTATTCGCTTGGAAATGATGTAAGATCAGTATTTGCTTACACGTATCCAGTGTATCAAAATGCATGGCCTTTAATAGACAACGGGTGCATATCAGACTAAAATAAATATTTATTTATTTATTGGCTACCGCTTAACTAAGATCTTATGCTCGCCTGTATTAAAAATTCTATCGCACTTGCTAAAATAAATATGTTTTGCTTTTAATGATTTATTAGTTTGCAATTCGAATTTGTCTGGTTTTTGTGAACACATTCTATTTACATTTCTCTTATTGTTTTATTATAACATTAATAAATTATACTCATTATCCTTTTTCTTTTTATAGAGTTATATTTTTATTCATTTATGGAGTGGTTAATAATTGATAGATATTACTATACTATAATTTTTTTATAATCTAGGTTAGAATTTTAAAAGGTATTGTATTTATAAAATCTGTTGTTTTTATAAAATTTAATTTCATTAATTGATTCATCATTTTAATCTTTATGAATATTTAATAATTTATCGACATACTGTCATTTTGATAAAACGTATCATTTTAGTAATTACATTTCAAAGTTTATTATAAAATTCGGTAAAAATTTATTGTAATTTAATGGCTCATTGCACATTACTTATTGATTTATTTATATTTCTTTAAAATACTGTAGGGTTTAGTAGCATACGGTCTAGGAGCAAAGGAACCACCGTCACGTACACGTTTTGCTTCATTTAAGTAAGACATTACAGAAGAACGTTTAGCAGCCGCTGCAGAAGATGACGCTAATTTGATGATACATAAAAATTTCGTTTATAAATTTATTGAAATTCTATTATATTACATGTTTTATTCGGTTTATTGGAAGTTGTCATCAAAATTAAATCAAAGTTTTCTAATATCTCACCAATCGTCAAAAATTGTCATTACGTATATTTTATCGAAAATATTTATATTTATTGAAACAAATTTGTTTTGTATTAAGCACGGCATCTGCATCAAATCAATTTAGTCGTAAGGGCACTAATCCTTTAAGCATTTCGCCCAAAGCCGAAAACAAGAATTTCAAATAATGTGATTCCTTCGCAATTTCTGGAATTGTGTTGTGACACTAATTTATGGGGCAAGGCACTCTCCTACTCGCCTACAAGAAGGATTCTAATCAATGTGTTTGGATGGATAATGAGATAGTAAAATGACAACCTTCATTTATTGGAATACTAAACAACTAAGAAAGTTATATTCGGCGGGGACTAAATCTCGCATATCCACCACTATGCTTTTCGCATTCTACTCTCCAGCTCCGTTTGTTTGATACCCATATCGCTCGGTATTATTAAGAAAAAATTAATTGCGGGGTCTTCCATATTCCTTTTAAAATTAACCCATTTTTCATTTGAGAAATGTGCAAAATAGTTTTAAACATTCTGTCCTGTTTGCATGGCGATAAATAAGCATAAAATCCCAAAAAAGTGACAACAGTAACATTTAATCACTTGCAAACCTGCTTGGGCGTAGAAGTTTTTTAACATTTTTGCACATAAAAAGTAAAGTATTCCAAAAAGTAAAGGTGGAAGATTTCAGCCTTCTAACTTTAATAATTTCTGACCAATAAATGAAAAACATACAAATTTTTGCTAAGAAAAACGGAGTTGCGTTCAGTTTATGCTGCACCCATTTCATTACCAACCAGCGTGCAAAATCTTCCAATGTTATTGCCAAATTTGATGTCGATATTTTCATTTTTGCAAGCAACAAAAGAACAAACGTCACATAGACGCACAGACATGGCGTAATCAATTCTTAATATCACGCTAACCAAGAACATATATAATATATGGTGTTTTTAAAGCTTCTTTTGGGTATTACGTAAATTACGAAGCGCTGCGCTTAAAAAGAATTATTTTTGCAAAATATTAAAAAAAGCTAACACCAGAGCCATTCCCGTGGAGGCATCTTTAACTTACAGGACTCCGCGGCACGTGGTGTAACTCGTGCATATTTCAACGCAAAAAAAATGTACATGTCTATAGATGAAGGAAAACGGGCCAAAAAATCTGATTTTTGTGTAATTGACTAGTGAGAAATTTGAAAGGCTGACAAAAAAAGGGGAATCTTTGGTTAATAAACTATTTTTAAATGAATGTATCGAAAATCGTATTACTCTTTAAAATCATCTATTTCAAGATACTCTGAAAACTTTGAATGAAAGTTGTTGGAAGTGAGTTATGCTGCGCAACGCTTGAAGCTTGAAGTACGCATACGCTTCTACAGACTAATTATTAATTTTTTTAGAGCCAGAGAAATAAATTCTAAGCCTTATTGAACTTTATGGCTTTGAACCCACGATCATATGTTTGACACACCAAGTTTCTCTTATCTAACGTTTTGCTACACAAACTATATTCATCACTTCATATTTTTCTTGACTATTTAAGCGGTCATTGTATATGGATTCTCATTCAATTTAAGACTACGGGCCTATTTAATTGCTTCCAAACAAATGTTCACTCATTCCACAGAGTTAAATTTCACAGATGATGTCTGCAAAGTAACGCAGCGACTAAGCATTTGAGATAATCCGTCAAGAGATAGAAGCTTTCTTAATGTTTGGTATAATTGAAATTCTCACAATTAATAACAAGTGCTGCACATCTTCCAATACACTTCATCCAAGGTTTGTTTCATAAAGAGTGAATGAAGACAGCACCATAAAAACTAAGAACTTGCTGAAGTTCGGTAGCTATTTGGGCTAAGAGTGTAATTGGAGCTGATCTAAAAAAACCCGTATACATATAAAAGTCGATTCACTTGAACACAATTTAATTCAGAGCGAAAAATACTTCCTTTGACAAGAGCCACAGTTGAGACCTTCATGATATTTGGCCACACGAAAAAATCATACTTGAAAACTTGGCTTTTACTTTTTAGAGAAGATGTCTGACAACCAGTATTATAGCTTGATTTAAGAATACCATTTTTCTTGTTGCAATGCAAACAATTCCTCTTCTCTTTATTTCAATTAAACAGAAAAAAATTGTCATTAAAAATACTTGAAGTATACGTTCCTAGAGAGTGTGTACACTTTTTATAACGAAGTTGGCTATGGTAATTTGAGTTGTTATGTAAGAGCCCGTTTAGATTATTAGGCTTTTTGTTATCTCTTTGCATTAATTTTCAAAAGATTTTGTTTAGCAACTTTTCATATGTCAATTTACAATCTCGCTCGTTTTAAATTAGTTCAAAACCATCCACCTTATAATTTCATCTGACAACTATGAAAACGTAACACGGATTTCTATGCATTCTATGTACAAATCCTAATTACAGACAGATAGATTACAGTGGTTCCGATTTTTATATATTTGTTTGACTTTATGGGGTAACGCAGATTTACTTTGAATATTGTATAGATACTTAATCTCAACCAAATAGGCATCATTTTTACAATTTTTGATTTCGCTTACCTTTACTAAATTCGAAACCATTATAGTCCATCTCGCGTGTTTGCTTGGGTTCGTAATGAATTCCTTTAGCAGTGCTACCATACCATGGAAAGAGTCAATTTTATTAATATTAAAATTTATACTATGTTAAATTGAATTCAAATGATCATGACAAAATAACGCATTTTGTTCTTCTTCTTCGTTTATATATTTTAAAGAAAAAACCTGCCACTAGTTGGGCACATTTGAAACAAATTCTTTCATCATATACTTACTCGTCATACGTTGCGTGTTTAAGCAAACGTAAATATTTGGGAGGTCCTACAGCACCTGATTTTTCAAATACAGATCTGCGTAAAAACCAAAGTCAATCAATAATTAGTCTGCCCTATATATATTTACAGCTAACATACTTATATAGTTCCGGATTACCACCATAACTGTTCTTAGCTAATTCTGGATTCATCTCCATAATTTCCCGCAGTTGTTCATGCGAGACTTCATCATTCTTATCAGGTATCAAATACTTACGTACTTCAGCTAATGCATATGCTATTCGAGCATAACATTCAGCCGGCGGTGCTACAGTACTAATTTCTAAAAATAAATCTTTATTTAGATGAGCATATTTCGGATCCCCCGTACTACGTAATTCCTCTTCTCTGTTGCGATCTCGCATTGAATTGCGACCCTTTATAACAATTTTGCATTGAGTTTCTTCTTGCAGACGGCGTAGGGAGTTACCCTTAGGTCCCAGAATCTTACCGCTAAAATTAAATTTCGGATATTGTTTGATTGGCACAAACACTTTTTGGGTTATTTTCATCGGCTTTTGTTTATAAACGTCGGCATGAAACTCTTTGCCAGGTATCCGGCCAGTAGAATAAACGCGATCGAAAGCTATGTACAAAGAATTCATAGGAAAATTTGAAAACTTGGAAAATATATTAATGTTAACCTTCTTCAATCAACAAAGCGCATAGGGGAAAATCTTCCGATAAACGGGAACGCTCTTTATCCAAATCGGCTAAAAAGTTCTGAGCAACTTCGTTTATTTTCGGTTGATAGCCTTCAGTGAAATTTTTTTCAGGCTCGTCAAATTCTTCATGAGACATTTTTATTATAAAAGTTGTAATATTTCTCAATTAAACACTAATGATACTTTTACTCTTGCCACGTAAATGACGCTGTTAGAATGCAAAATGGCTACCTCCCCATCAAGTTGCCAAAGCGTTCATTAAGTTTCTAGGGGTTTTTATTTACATATAAAACACTGTTTGCATAGGCAGAGTTACCCGGGAAAAATATCTATTAATAAACAGAATATTAAGGGGCTGATACAATCATGATATTCCTTCTTCTTCTTCTATCAGAAAATCAACAACCGAAAATTCCATGAGATGTGTAAAAAAGCTTTAATATGAACCCAGAGTTCTTTGTTTGAGCCTTAGTAAAGTTGGGGTTCGATTTAATATGTAATATTATCTATTTTTTATATTTATTTGATTAAAGTCTATTTATTTTGCGTGTAATATATCCGTCACGCTATATATATATGTTTTTATATGTGCAAATTACTCGTTCGCCAAGTATGATGGAGCACAGCGGCGAGGAATAAATTTCTTTGTGGAAGAAGTAATGTAGTACATGATTATAAAGAGTCATACGAAAGAATTGATAAGTGCGGCAGTGAAAAAGTGCAAAAGAGGGCAGGATCACAATTTGTCTGTAAAAGCCTATATATCTTGATGTAATGATTTAAAAAAAGAAAAGATTACGAAGTAAGCTGCTAAATTGCGAGCACGCAAAACGTCAAGAATGCTCCGGTAATGAAGACCACATATACCCAATTTGCGAAGTGCGGAATGGCGAATAGAAGTGGCAACATTCGGACAATTAAATACGATATGATCAGGAGATTGTAAGACCCCACATGTACATAAAGGACTATTCACTATGTTAATTTTGAATAGATGTTCATTACACTTCATGTGATTAAACATCAGTCTGTTAATAAGGTAAATTATATGACGTCTGATATACCAAGGGCTTTATTTATTTGAGGAAATAAAGAGTACAAATGACGCCCACAAGGTGAGTTATCCTGTAGCTGCTGCCAAGAAATAATTGAATGCTTTTTGTCGATTGCCCTTCGATCTGCAGAAATCACGTCACGACCATGAAAATGAGGTGGTCTAGAAGATGGAATTTTATCCGTAGTCGTGTTGCCAAGATGCTAATGTGACTGGGCACTCAAAGAAAGTGACAACAAAATGTGTCAGATTTGAGACTACAAAGTACAGATCTGATTTCAAATACGTAGGGGTAAACTTTACCCGAGGGAAATGAAACGCAAAGCGGATAAGGCAGATTTACTGTCTGACACTAGACGGAATTTCTTTTGAAGCTGAGTATTCATTAAGCGGATGGGTTCCAGGATCGCACAACGTTCAGCCAAAAATATAGTGCTAGATGAGTGATTTGATAAGTAAGGTTCTTTGTTAATATTTGGAAACCAAAAATCGTTGCCTACAACATCTTCGATCTATCAGTAAAGATGAATGAAAAAAGTTTCCATTTGTTATTGACCATGTTTGAGTAGTGGTAGTGCTGTGGATTTTCTCATTGATAGGAACATAACTGCGAAACCATATGGAACGAAAAGAAGAGGAAATACAGACAGTTTATTTTAAATTTTTTGATTGTCAATACAATTTATCGTCATTTTGCAATAATTTACAACTTTTTCATGTTACACAAATTGAGGTTTTAGTTTATACCCTACAATACTTTGTGAGGGATGAAAAATAAGCGATAAAGGTGGTTTGTTTCCAATTTCAAATATATTTGGCATCTCCAAACATTTAATCAGTTATACAGCTTTGTTTTGTTGCGTCGGTGAAGTCCGCATTCATGCTCCTTCTATTTTCCTACATTCTTTGTTTCATTAACCCATCAAGATTTTCATCTAATTTTACATTAATTTTCTTATCGTTGTTTTTCTTATATTTGATGTCTTATATTTTTCTTATATGTTGATTTCTTTAGTTTTACTTCTCAAACCATTCGTTATTTATACTTACATCGATTTTCTTATTTTCAGGCACCTTATGACTTTACCGCAGAAATTGAAAGCCACCTAAATTAATATCTTAAGTGCTGGATATAATGACTGGTTTAATATTTCTTGTAATATTTGCTACAAATACAACCCTGCAGAAGATAAGGTTGTTAATCTCACGTGTGGAAAGATTCTTGATACCTAGCATGATATTGGACGAGATCAAAAAGAAAATAAATAAAAGCAAGGTAGCCAGTTTGGGAACACGTGGAAAAAACTTGTTCTCAGAAAAATTAGGGGAAAAGTGCATAACCAAGTTTTCTTATTGCATAGAGGTATCTCCATGATTGAACCGATTGATTAAAATTTGGCATGAAGCAGCATGAGTGGAACATTATGCTTGTCAAGAACTTTACAAGGACAGCAGACTTATCCTTTTTTTTAAGGAAGAAAATGTATTTCTGTTTAAAAAAAAAAAATTGTGGCAAAAATAAAAATATTTTTTAAAAATATCACAACTACATTAAAAGATATGTAGGTCAGGTTAAATATTTTGTACGACGGTAAGTGAATTTCTAATATGTATAGTCAAGAAAAATTGGAGTATTAAAATGAATATTTGTATATACAGTTGTAAAGGAATGTCGTATGTACATAATATGTACACAGTTGAGCAAAGCAGAGAAACGATATTAAAAGAAAAGTGCAAATAATCCATAACCAACAACAAATACCTTGCGACACCATTTTCGCCATCGAGATGGAAAAACAACTTTTGAAAGCGACATACTAAAACCAGAGTGAATAAGATTGTTTCGTTGCCACCACCTCCAGTGACCACTTAAGTGAAAACAATGATTTCGTTGCGAATTGTTCATGCTGGGTGGTAATCATATAAGCAGGCGGTCATTGCCGTAATCAACGCCTGGTTTTTTTAGGAGGCAATTGATTGTTGCCAAGAGATTAATTAGGTACCATCGTCGCCAGTTTTCCTCCAATGCTTTCCATTACTTTTCCTCAAATTTCCGTCGCAAAAAATGAGAGCACGATTGACGTTTATCCACACACAATTGCCGAAGATCCACTATATAAGAAGTGTTATTTTCAGTATTATGTCGTGCCAGTAATGCTCTCACTTGTTTATCCAATTGCCTCAATTGTGGTGTTTCCACACAAACATCACCACTATTATCTTCATAGGTCGCCTGGAGTGCTGGAGTATTCAAAAGATCTCCTCTCACTTTTTACTGAATCTTTCCCAGCTTCTTTTAACTGTAGCAACCATTTCCCTCTTCCTGTATAATACGCCAGCAACCTACCAAAATATCTAACAACTGCACTTCGATTCTCGAAATGCTAAATACTATAATACTATCCTTTACACACACCAACGCATCTTTGCTTGGGAAACGCGTAACATTTGCATAAACATACATACAACGATATAATGTATATTTATATGACGTCTGTAAATTTTAAAAACAATTTACTTACTCGCTTTGAGGTAGCGCTATATCTTTTTGATTTTTTGAATTAACAATACATTTCTTAACAGCTGTTTATGTTTTCCTTTTTTAGCCGTTTCTCTGGAAACGAGTTGTGGTAACTTTGCTTGGTTTAAACTCATTACTAATGCAAAAATGTTCTTGGCGACAGAAATTTTATTGCCAAAATTGAGGTAAATGAGGGAGCGTATTTGGCGATATTGTTCCCTACTTACATGACTACTCCACCGAATTTTTGAGTTTAGGGATCATCTAAAGTATATAAAAGCAATATTAAATGCTAGTCTTTGTTACGTTGTCAACTTCGTTATTAACTTCCGTCAGTTTCTCGTTGTCAGTTTCAGCAGCAAACAGTCGTCACGTAAGGTTCTTCAGCGCATCTATTTTACATATATAACACATATACATGATTTATTTACCACATAACATAATTTAAGCAACCATACATGTAGATTTACAAATTATTTAATTCGTCCCCTTTTAATTAATAATGTAGATATATCGATATAGTTTTTGCTACTGAAAGTCATATAAATTAGAAAGAAAAGAACAAAAATACATATATATGTGTGAAAAATATATACATGAAGCAGGTTAGAGGGTTATTGGATCCAAATTTGCGGTGTCCCATTGCAAATCAAGGACCGAAGGAAGAAAGGGAGACCATAGGTAAGATAGTGTGTGTAGAATGACTCAAGGCTTATGATAAGCCCGTGCGGTAAGTAGGTTTCGTCTGCGCGCTTGTCCGTAAAAGGGAGAACGCATGCTATGCTTTAGGACCCCCTCCCCCCTCCATACTAGCCAAGTTAACTAGCTCAGCAATATTTCCTTGCAATTCTTAGCATTCAAGCCTTATCTGAAATTTTATGATCCCTTCAAAATTGAGTGCGTTCTGCATACGGAAGACGAGCCCGACCTTTGCGGAGGCAACCTATCACTAAAAAATGCAACAATGTGAAATATCGCAGCACATATCTTATACTTGTCTCCGATTTTAATCCTAATTAAAAAAAGGATATTTTTTGTTTGGAGCTAATTTTTTATTCGATAAAGTTCAAATTATAAAATTACATATACACTTTAATCTGTACTTACTTATCCTTCTCGGATGAAGATGATCCGTATTATAACGAATGCAACGCAAACTCTTTATCCTTTAAACCAAGATATACTGTCAGTTTTTTCTTTTTTTTGGTCAACACAATAACTTATTTAGAGGGAAGCTTATTAATAATTTTCTGATTAGGAAAAATAGTTTTTTTTATCGTGTTTGTAAAACTACGTCATTAATTAGTTTGAATGTATATGTATTCAAATAGAAGTAGATATATATGTGTTTGTGTTGTATCTCTAACGTCTTATATCTTATTGGAGTACCTTTAGAAAGGTTTTTCAGCTTTTAGCATATCTTCATTAATTATTGAAGAAAAGGAGTAAATTTTATATTTTCATACTTTTCGGTTTGGTTAAAAAGTTTCATTATTTCTTTTTTTCTTTTGTTTTTTGCATTAAAGTCAATTTTAATGTGTTTGTTATATAATATTCTCTTATATTTTCCTTTAACTTTATTGACAATTTTTTTTTTTTTTTTTTTTTTTTTAATTTTAAATTTTATTTTTCTTACATTTTAGTAAAGTTTTAATTCTCCTTTTTTGTATTTAACATTATCATCAAATTATCATCGATTTTTTGATAGTATTGAATATGTCAATGATTTTATCGTTAATCGTATGCGTATATGTTTTAGAATTATTTTTATTGTTAAAGTTTTTGTTTCGTTTTCTTCTGTGTTTCTATCATCTCTCTTTATTCATTATTTATAATATTTTTAGGTTATTTCAGTTTTTAATATTTACGATTGAATATAAGTTTTTTTGTTTTTGTTTTTTTTTAACGTATTTTGGGATACGGAGCCGAACGGTATCTTACACTGTCTCGAGAACGTGACCCAGTTTCATAGTGCGATGACGAATGTGAAGCCGAAGTTGATGTTCGATATGTTGACGATGAAGAACGACCATTGCTGGCTTTAGCTAATTTAGAAGAAGATTTCAGGTTTGATTTGTTTTTAAATTTTATTTGAATTCTTGTTTACTTTTTAAATTTATTTTATTATCTGTTTTTTTCATTTCCTATAAAAATTTGTGAGTTAAGAGTCTAGAGGTTTTAAAAATTGAATTGATTTTTGTTGGGTTTTCCTCTTACATTATTTATTAAAGAATTAAGAACGTTTGTGGCCACAAATGTCAACGAATTTAAATATTTGTTTCGTTTTAGATTTAATTGTACAAGGTGTTTTATTCCATATATTCCAGAACTTGTTAAGTTTCGATTCAATAGCAGGTACGCTTCAAACTCTTTTTCGTTTTTTTGTTTTTTAAAATGTTTACTTAAAAAATTGAATTCGTTTGGCTTGTAAAAAAGCAGAGTTAAGAGATTTTTTTATTTGGTTTATTTAGTTCTTTTTTTCTTTGTTTAATGTTATTTAAATTCGTTACCCATTGATTTGCTTGACATTCTTTTTTCTGTGTTATCCTGCTTTAGGCTTAGTTTCAATTCAATTTTGCTTGTTTTTAAATTTAAATCTTTTTAATATTGAAATTTTTTAAACGAAAATTATAGATGTATGTTTTTGATTTATCAGCCTTTTTTCTTTTTAAGAGATTTTGTTGAAATATTTAAGGCGTTTTATCATTTTTCTTTTTTAACTTTTATTATTGTTAAGTTTGTTTTCAGCTGTAATAAAAATCGGTTGGTAATAGAAAAGACTTACCTGCATAAGCAGCAGCGTAAGATGATGAGTGTGGATGATATTCACGCCGATAATCACGTTCATAGGAGCTATTTTCATAAGCTGCATGATGAGCACTCGAGTGTTTAGATGAAGGTGGTGGTGGTGGAGTGCCGTAACGGTCATAGTCACTGGGATGATCGTATAAGTCGTGATCACGAGATCTGTGGTATTAGAAAAACTAATTATGAAAAACGTTTAGCTTTACTTTATTTAACTTTACCTATGAGACTTAACCAAGCCATAGTTGGGGTCTTCCATAACATAACGCGCCTTTTCTAATATGGAATAAACTTTAGGTTTGGTCGATTTCTCAAATGGTGGCATTGGTGGGGGAGGTGTTCTGTAAATGCTTTTCCTTTTTTTTTTTTTATTTTACTATTAAATACTCTTTACATTTTTTACCTGCTAGCATAAGTAGTGCTGTGGTCGCCGTAGGCCTTGGCATAGTGTGATTTTTTGTAAAGCCGTTCTTTGCCATCGAGTTCACGCATTTGCTCCATGCGTATGTCATCGTTAGAATCTGGAATCATGAATTTTCGTACCTCTGCTAAGGCGTAAGCTAAACGGTGATAAGCCTCCGAAGGTGGAGCCACTGTGGATATTTCTACATGTAAATCCCTATTTAAATGGGCGTATTTTGGGTTGCCTGAGCTACGCAGCTCTTCTTCTTTAGCATGATCACGCATAGAATTACGACCCAATACAGTCATTTTGCATAATGTTTCTTCTTGTAATTGACGCAACGTATTTCCTTTAGGTCCAAGAATTTTACCAACAAAATTAAATTTCGGGTATTCCTTAATTGGAAATAAAACTTTTTGAGCTACTCGTATGGGTTTCTCACTATACACATTTGCATATATCTCAGGTTTTGGGATGCGACCGCTAATCAAAATTTTTTCAATTTCTACACGTACATAAAACATATGCATACGAAAAAGCGAAAACAAAATGGTGGATAAATTTTTCTAATATATACATATAAATGTAAAACTTTTTTTTCTTATAAAGACTTACCGTCATCTATTAATCTTCGACAGATATTAAAATTATTACTTCCTAATTGCTTCTTCTCTTGCAAGCATTCATCTAAATATGTGTTGGTCTTTTCATTTAATTGAGGACCATCGTGAGCAACGGCCGATTGCTGGACATCATCACCCCCTCCACCTTGATCATTATTATTCGATTCTTCGTCATTGCGGCGCTTACGCTTGTAATCGGAAGTGTCTTCGCTACCATAATCACGATCATAATCTCGAGGCATGTTTACTTTTTTTTAAATATATAACACTTTTTCTTCTTAACAAAATTGAGCAAAAACTTACTCGTGGCTGTCTCAATATATCTTTCTGTCTAGGAAAAATGTATATGAAAGAGTATTGTCACTATTTCGTACGCAGTTTGCTATTAGGTATAAGAGATGGAAAATTGTGGATAAAACATTGTCGGGAATATTACAAATCGATTTTCTTTTTGTAAGCAAAAAACTCGATTGACATAGGGGCTAACACAATTAGACGTCATTTTCGTTGTCGGGTTGAAAACTCCCGATCGGTAAACACACCATCGTATTGTTTTACAGAAAATGTAAACAATAACATACGGTCTTAGAACTAATAATAAAGAAATCAAGACAAATATATACGACAAATTTATAAAAAATAGCAATTTTGTTAATCTTTATAATGTGTTTAGATTTTATGACAACATCGATAGCCCCTTTAAATTGATTCATAGCTTGAAAATCACCATTTATGACTCTCTATTAAAACAATTTCAATTTTAAAATAAGTAGACTTTACTGCTTGCATTTCCTTTGCTGCAAAATAATACTTGGCATAAACTAAAAATGCAAATCACATAATGTAACAATAATGAACATTACTGTAAGTATTTAAGCTTATAAATTGGATAAATATCTTTAAAATTTAAAAGAAAAGATCGTCATCGCCGTCGTGTGCTTTTTTTTCTTTTTGTTTTATTTGTATGGATACATTTAAAACCATGTGATTTGCCGATTTTTATACAAGTTTGTAGAAATTCGGGAAAGTCCCAATCCGAAAAAAGAAATAACGCGTCATTGCTTAAGCCGTCTATTTGTAGCTTGCAGTATATTGGTATTTACTAGGTTTTTTTTAGTGTCGCTATCGAAGGAACGTTGTTTGCCAAATTCCTGATGAATTGCTGGTCGAACACGATTTTGCTTCGGCCCTCTTCGGTGTCTTGAAATAAAATAAACCGCTAAATGCTGATCGGAAAACTAGGTACAATAAAAATTACTGAAATAACTTTGCAAATTTTATATATTATTTTGAAGCCTAGCGTTTCGGAAATAGCGATCCTAGTAGCATGTAAATTTTTTTCCCATTTTATTTGAATTATTATCGGGTATTTAATAAATTCTTGGGCTGCTATGAAAAATATTGTGATTAAACTAAAATACCATGAATTCTCTCAGTCTGTCTTTTAAATTTATTGCGTTTCATACGTTCGGTTGGAATTGACGAGACGCTGAAATATATTTAGTTTTTATGTTGTCACAATATTGCAATTTGAAGAATTTGAATTCTCAAAATTATATTGTGTGTCTCGATCGTGTTTTCATGATAAACTCTTACGAATATTGTTGCGTCGAGTCTTTTGCTGACTGTTCGATACATGAACGCGTTTTCTATTTCCATTACCGTCCATCTGCCTTTCAACCCTTTACAAAAGTGTGGAGAGACGTATGTTATTCATTATGACGATTTTTGTACCTTCACACGCTGGTGCGTTTTCTTCAGGTGGGAAATGAATCTTGTTCAAGAAGTTTATGCAGCTTTATTGAATGTCAGTGTTTTGAATAATTAAAGCGTCGTTATTACTCACCATTTCAGAGCTCAATAATACGATTTTCGGACTGCTCTACGGAATTTTACAACGTTGTTTATTAAAAAGGGGCAAAATTAAATGGCCGCAATCGCGTTATCATTTCGCACTAATTGAAAATTTTAAATAAGAGCAAGATTTGGTTGGTGGATTTTTACTTGTGTTTCTTACATCTAATTAATATTATTACACAAGCAAATAGCAGGAAAATTGTGATTGCAAGCCCGAATTATTTGAAGAATTGGTCAGCTTTTCGTATAACGTGTGCATAAATCCTAATACGTTTTGTAGTAAAGGCAGTGTATTAATTTTTATTGCTCGTGGTCTTAATGGCGGAAAACGGTATGCGTTCTGGATTAGAACAATCAAGTGATAGTGGTGGTGGTGGTGTTGGTGGTGCAGCCGTCAACGGTCATCTTAATCATGAACATGAGCAGGGCATTGAAAAAGGTTCGGCTCGCTTGAGTGAAGCTGCTCAAAAATACATGCAAGAGTTGTTAATTGAGCGTTCAAAATTGGAAAACAATTTCCCGTTGGCTGTGAAACTAATCGATGAAGGTGGGTTGCTAAAAAATAAAAACGTATACAAAATGTACTTAAGCGTAAAAGTTTACTTCCCTATCTCAAACTTTGTTCGTTAAAAAAAAATTAAAATTAAAAAAAAAAAAAGTAGCGTTAGAAAGGGTACAATTGAATGGACGCATACCCACCAGAGATCAATATGCAGACGTTTATCAGCAGCGTACCATAAAACTAACACAAAAAGTTCATGTGCCCATTAAGGACAAAAAGGTTGGTCATGCTATTCTGATAATGATGACTACATATCATAGACCATGTATAAATTTTTTTTCCAGTTTAACTACGTGGGCAAGCTTTTGGGACCCAAGGGTAACTCTCTGCGCCGTTTGCAAGAGGAGACTCAATGTAAAATAGTGATTTTGGGCCGCTTCTCGATGAAAGACCGTGCACGGGAGGAGGAATTACGTAATTCGGCTGATGCCAAATATGCCCACCTAAATTTACCCTTACATGTGGAAGTGTCAACCATAGCTCCGCCAGCTGAAGCTTATGCTAGGATAGCTTATGCTTTAGCTGAGTTAAGACGTTATTTAATACCCGATAAACATGATGATATAAGACAAGAGCAATTTCGTGAATTAATGGAAGATCCGGAGGCGGCTAAAAAAATCACTTTGAGACAACAACAGCAGCAACAACAAGGAAACGGTAACGGCGGCAATGGAAACGGTAACGGGAATAATAACCACCGTTCTAATAATGGGAATTATAGACCAAAATATCAACAACAATCTCAAAATTATCATTACAATGATGAGACTGTTTACTATCGATCCCATAGTAATAATTATCATCCAGCTAAAGCATATGTGCCAGGTAAATATATATATAGGTTTTGGGATTGTTAATATTGAAAATATGAAGAAATTCTATACAAATATATATTTGATTGATATAAGATTCGAAGCCAATTCAATCGTTGTTTGTATGCATTTGCTTTATTTGTCAAAAGTTATTATAATTCATTTTATATTAAATAGGAGTCAAGTTTCTACATCTTAAGAAACAGTGATATCATCACCTTGGGCCGTCCGAATTTGAAGTGCTGAAATCTTTATGCTAAGATTCCCGTTTTCCTTAGCTAATCATTTTTTGATTGTAAATATACTGATGAGAAAATAAATTATTCCCCATTTTTACTAAAATATCAAATTATGTTCAGCAAAAAGATATTGAAGATTTCAGAACTATTAAACAAAACAGAATGCGTTAGCAAATTATAGAGTTATTTTCGAGCATATGAGTTGGAAACGATATTTAGGGAAGGAAAAAATAGACGAAGAGGCTATCTACTAGAGATTCAATTTAAGCCGTTACCAATCGGAATTTATAAAATTTTGGCATATCCATAAAGAGAATTGCCTGATGTTACTCCGGTAAAATACGAAAGCCGTTAAAAAAGTAAAAGTTTAGAATTTAAACACATGGTAATAATGCTTTATTCCTGCTTAGAATATAGTTAGTAAAACTAAAGAACATTTCTCATATAAATTTCTTATTTCTAAATGTCATTAGACATCATCATTTTAAAGTATTACTGTATAAATTAATTGTAAGCAGATTGTTTGAGACAATGAAATATAATGTAGGGCCGTATGGCTCAAGCAGTTATATAGTCCATCGCACTTGAATTAAAGCCATCTGCATTAGGATGCTGTTTAGCACTACAATTCCGAAAATTATACAAAGATGTTAATTTAGAACTTTTACGAATTTAAAGTGATGCTCGTTGAACTTTTTAATCAATATAGATTATTTGCCAAATGAAAAATTTCCTTTTTAATAGTTTTGGCTTTCTACTTTAATTTTGGGCAATACGTAGTAATGTTTCCAAAGGAGTAAACTAAATTGTGATAATGAAGTATCTCAAATTATTGATTTTAGTTAAAAAAATTCGGGTTCGCTTTATTAAATTACGAGTTGAATTGAAATTGCATGTTACGCTCTTGAAGATATTTTCAGAGTATTAAAAATAATGTCTACTGAGAATGTGATTGACACGGCTTGTTTTTCAGGTGGTCAGCGTACGAGTTCTATGCACTCAACTATCCCGCCACCTGCGATTGTGGGTGCTTCGCCATCTGGCATGACGGTAGTTAATGCTACTGCTGCCAACTATAGTGGGCGTGCTCCTGGTTTGATTACTGGAAATCCAGTGGCCGGTAATACGGCTGGGGGAGCTACAGTAGGTAATCCAAATATGAGATACCGACCATCTCAACTGCCGTATTCATTTGTTAAGAAATAAAAACGTTTCTGCGGTTCGTTTAGTCACTATACCGTTGAATGTTTTTTTCTATTATAATTTGTTATTGACTCTTTTCCACGTTAATTTTAAAAGATTACCTTTTGAGAAATGTACGTATTTCATCATCAGCTTCCAATATATTTTTTGGATATAAAGTTGTTTCATTTGCTACTTTGTATCGTTATAATCATACCTTTGAATTTGCATTGAAAGTTTAGTTTCATAACTTCATAAATACTTCATATCATATACGAACCTTTTTTAAATTTTGTTATTCGAACGGAAGCTTATTTAAACTTAAACAATAACTTTTAAATTTGATCTTTAATAATTGTTTAAAGCAAGAAGAAGAAAAATTAAAGATTAACAGACATAAATACACAATACCATACATCAATACTATAGCGTGTATATTTGTATTTTTAAAAGAATTTGTCATTTAAAACCTTGTTATTTTTCAATAATTACATACTCAACAACAACCAACAAACAAAGAAAAACAATGTGGATAATGATAACAAACACTAACGGTCTACAAACAACAAAGCAAGCAGCAACTACTCCACCCTACTAAATCACACTCACAAATGTTAATTTGAGTTCAGTTTACAAACGCTTAGTTAGCATTTAACTAAGCGAAAAAAAAAGAATTGACAAAAAAAAACCAAATTGAATAAAAAAATACAAATACAAAACCATATAAAAGAGAGATAATGTACGATCATTTATATAGAATATGAATATTTTCGTATATATCTACAATCGTATGTGAAAGAGAAAACAACATGTAAAAAAGAAAAGAAAAATCTTAACTGTTTTTTACGTTAAGCATAAGAAAAGTAATATGTTGTAAAATACTAATAATAATAATAATAATAATAATAAGAGAAAAAATATTGAATTATATACAAAAAAAGAAAAACGAAAAATAAATGCTTGCGCTGTGTGTGTATGTGTTTGTTTATTTGTACGTATGTGTGCGCACTTTCATCTCTGGAATTCATAATGTGTCTGCCCATTAATTCATGTACATCTGCCATTTTTCTGCACGTACGCATACATTTTATTCCCCTACGGGAAGGTTATGTTATGTCATTTAATACTTATGCGAGAATACTTTTCTCTAAAATCTTGTTGAAAAGATATTTCACTCTTTCTCTCCATAAGCTCCACCATTTAATATTAAATATATAAGTGATTTGTAAAATCAATTAAGAAAAAATAAATAAATAAAAAAATTTATAAATGTTAAATAAAATTGATATTTCAATGGTAAATATTTTTATTAAATAGCTTTTTAGTGGTTCGCCATTTACTTTTGGCTTAAGCGAATTTTGAAAATCAGATAATCTCAAGCAAAGAAGCAAGCGATTAAAAATTTTATACTCTCCTTAAGATAGATAGATCTTGGGTATGCACCACTTCGTACACCTGGTGAGCGTCTATGATAAATATTAAATAGATACCTTGTTTGGAGGTTGTAGGTCATATTTTTCATCTATTTTTGGTGATTCAACGCATGGATCCAAACGGAAAATATATGTTACAATGTTAAACTTTTCTGTAACAACGATGAACATGGATAAATTGTTAATGTTTAATGACGAAGATTTGTTCATGATAGTAATTTGGTATAAAATTTAAGCGGAACCCATTTCAATGGAGAAAACTGGTTTCTGGCAGCAATTTAGTAACAAAAATTGACGATAAAGAATTTGAATATAATAGCTATATTTTTTAAGAGTTCATCATATGTAGGGGTTATCACGGTAAGCAAGCCGTTATATGGAGAGAAGGTCTAATCTAGTTTTTTATGATGGAAACTGAAAAATAACCAATTTTTCAGGAAGTAAATTAGCTTTGCTAAATTTGGATCATGCTATGTGATGTCATGTCGGTGCTTATCCGCTTATGATGCTTCCTCTTAGAGGATAAAATCGCAAAACTTAAAACCAAGAAGAAACGAGTAATAAGAACGTCCGACGCAGGTTAAAGTAGAGATCGAGGCAGCATTCACTGCGTGCTTATATGAAATTGCAGTCCGATAACTTCTAACGCTGCAAGCAAATATGGAGTAAATATCGTCGGCAAAAAGTAACAAATGTTCACTTTTGCAGCGTAGTACTCTATACATGTGTGTATAAAGTTCTTCAATATATTAAATCATTTGTGGTTCAATTTAAGCGACATTTTAAGGATAGTTTCACTTTTGCAATGGGGAAATTCTATAAATAAATGTGAGTGATAGTCTACCCGATGATAAAATATTTTATATATTAGATGGAATATTGAGTTATGATTGGATTAATTAGATTTCTTCCCAGGTTCGCCAGTTTTGAGACCAAGAACTTAATCTTTCCATTTATAGCGCAGCAGTAATATTAGCTATTTATTTAACAATCTTTTAGGAAAATGCGTCAAATGTTCGCTTTTTTTATGTAGATGTGTGAGCAATATTATCGGCCGAAGAAACAATGAAATTTTTCTTTGAAATAATCAAAGTAAGAAAAAAACGATGGGCAAGCAAAATTATTGAAAATAAAGCATATAAATAATTGCTGATAAACACGAAAATTGCTAATAAAAGCAATATTATATATCGTGGGTTAAATAAAACATGTGAGCAGAAAACTTAGATTTTTCGTGATCACATTCATTCGACGGCCGAACAAAAATATGAAAAATCCTCCGTAGTGAAATTAATATTATCTGATTATATAAATGGACGCGCTTGCTAAAAAAAACTTCAGCTGGGGTTCATTATAAAATTTTTTATGTTGATATTGTTCGCAACATTTCCCGATTTTCCAAGTTGTAGGTCGTCAAAATCATTTCAAATTCGACGCAACTTTTGCAATAAATTCGATTCCGAAGAGTCTCTAGTACACATATCATAGTTTTCTACGTTCGAATTTACAAACTGATTCGTATTACACAATGTTATGGCATGAAAGGCCAATTTTAATATTGGGATGGGTTTAAGATCAATACCGATTACACTGCTGGAGTATTCATTTGATGTAGGCTTTCGATGTTAGATTAATGATAACAAGTGCTAGAAAGTAATATCTATATGTAAGTAATAATGTAATCTGTATGCTTCTCATTAGCTCAAATCAAACGCAATGTACTTTCTTTATAATACATTTTAAAATTTTTCTGACAGTCGTCACAAAGACGTTGTCTATATTTTATTTCAGCGAATATGCCGTAGCAGTTTCTAAATAAATTGGCAAAAGGTATTTTCACGAGAACACCACTAGTGTTCTTAGTTAATCGTATCTTTGTTTATTGCGTTCTTTTAGGTAATTAACTTTCATGCTCTTTATCGGTTAATTATATCGTTTAATTGAAAGTTATTTTGATACTTTCAGTTCTCTTTAGAACACCTCAAAAGAGAAGAGACAGTGAAACAACTTATCCAGAAATTAACGCTTTAAGTCCGAATAGAATGCACAGCTGATATCGATTTGCTGATTTCGAATTTCCGTTCGAGTGGCTCGAAGTGCGGAGTAAATAAATCCCAGCTTGAAATTCAAAGCATTTAATAATCGCTTTTTGTCGGTTAATGCGTTGAATATTTATCATTTTCTTTTAAAAATTGTAGAAATTTTTAAAATCTTGCTATATCTGAGATCATTAAAAATTTCAATTAAAAAATAAAGGGAATAAAAAATCGTTTTATACTGAGTATTATGTAATTGATTTGAAATTGGAAGCATTGTTTCTTTACTGTAGCTTTTACATTAGTTTTAATCGGTAATGGTTGCTTCACAATAAAGGTTTCGCAATTATTGTACGAACTTCCTATCCAGTTATCATCTGCAGCAATCGATTAGTGTGATTAAAGAACATTTATCAAAACTGTGTTCATGTTTAGGCGGATTTTGAAAGCCTCTAACTAATATAACTTTTGACAGTTGCAATGACGAAAGTCGATTCATACAAAGAGCTTTAAAATTAAAAAAAAAAGCTTGTCAACTAACCTATAAGTTCTACATTGCTTCAGTTTTTGTTAATTTTTTTTTTTATTTAAAATAGCTATTTTTAAAATAAACACCTTGTTTGTCCAGAAAAGCGAAGATAGCAAAACATATCAATAAACTCATAAATTATATAACATCGGTTTAGCCATACTGCCAAGCCTGAGATATGACCACCTTTCAGAGTGAAACTAAGTAGAGTGCAATCGATTCTTTGCGATGTGTTCGAGGTCTTGATTCTTGAAGAAATGTCAAGGATTTTCATATTACGCATTTAAAAAGCGGTCCGGATTATTACAAACGATGAATTTCAATAACTCCTTTGCCAAGAACCATTTAGTGAGTAAAATACAATATTTATTATAATTAATGTGTACGAAGAAATCTTATTTTACGGAGTTTAAAAGCAATAACAAATTTATTTCAATTCAATTATTATTGAACGCTTGAATTAAATTGAAATTCTTTATAAAATTTAAGCAAAACCAAAAGATTTGATACATTAAATGGTTCAAATAGTTCCGTAATGTATATAAGTTGTAGTTAATTAAATACTTTTTTACAGATACCTTAAAAACAATGATGGGAGGAAATAATTTTCGTACAATTCTAGTCAGTACGTGGACTGTAATTCTCTTTCTGTTTACAAACAGTTGCGTGCCTGGTATGTATTTCAACTAATTAGAGTATATTGAAAAAATTTATATTATATATGAGAACTTATATATATATATGTATAGCTGCTGTCTCCAAGTCTGAAAAACCACATACAACAGGTATGTATCCATTGTAACTGGCATATATAAAAAATCCATTAATATAATAACTACAGATTCTGATGACTTGGTTGGATCTATTCTCTCATCTGGTATGTGATTTTGGTAGTTCTGTCATATTGAAAAAATTTTCATTTTATTGCTTAATATAAATAGCTATAAAGTCCCTTGGTGGCCAAACACATGATGAGTCCAAAAAATTGAAGCCTAAATTGAAATATCCAAAAGGTATGTGGTCATGCTAATTTGATGATGTTGTACCAAATTTTAATCATATCTAGTTTGCGTTTTTGTCTAATGACAATCAACGACTCAGCTAATTGAATTATAATGTATTGGAAAAAACTTATATTTGTCAGTAAATGCAGGTAGTATTAACTTATATTTCAGCCGAATCGCATTACTATCCTCCAGCCAGTCCATATCATGAACTGCCGCCAATATTACCACCTAGTCGCCCTTATCCTTATCAAAACTATCTACCACCCAGATTATACTATTTTCCGCAACCAATTCAACGCTATCTGTTACCAATTGAACTCTATGGACAACGCTATCCACCATTGATAATATCACCAGCAGGACAACTCTATCCACCCCCAAATTTATACTATGTACCACAGTCAGTCGAAGCAACAAGCAGTCCTACACAATATTATGAACCATCGATAGTATCTCCAGCTCAATCCTCTGCATCGTCACAATGTATATTCTGTGTAGTAAACGTACAATCACCGCAAAATAACCTACCATCGAAGGAACCAAGGTCGTCTCAGTTACCATCGTCGATATCAGATTCGCAATCAGCACCAGCTAAAGCATCAATTTTAGAATTACCGTCTCACCAATCACCACCGTCAGAAATAGGTCTAGGGCCACTATCCCAACCGTCTCAGGCACGTCAATCATTATCATCAGAATCACCTTCAAAACCTGTAGCACTTCAGTCATTATCGTCACCATTGGGTTCAGAATCAACATTAGGTAAACAATCATACCCAGAACAACTGTTACGTGAACCATCACTGTCAGAAGCAGCATTGCAATCACCGCTCCATCAATTAGCCCCGTTAGGACCAGCATCACTCCAATCTTTTCCGTCGCAAACGCACCTAGAATCCACAAAATGTTCAACACAGCTATCAGAGCCCTCCCAGGGTACGTCAGCATTTCAAACAGCATCATCAGGGTCACACTCATTGTCACCACCCCATCTATCAGTGTCCTCGGCATCATCTACAGAAAGACCACATCCGTCATCAGCGGCAATACTAGGCTCCGAACAAGTATCGGGTGCAGAGCTAACATCGAAACTGCCGCCATATCAAAGGCCAGCGTCAGAAACCGTTTTACAGCAACCATCTGACGAGCCGGTACCACTTCAACCATCGTCATCGCAATCAATTCCAAAAGCAGGAACGGCTCAGTCATCAGTGTCATCATCAGATTCAGAATCAATATTAGGTAAAGAATCATCCCCACAACAACCGCTGCGTCAACCATCATTGTCAGAAACAGTATTGCAATCACCGCTCCATCAATTAGCACCGTTAGGACCAGCATCACTCCAATCTTTTCAGTCGCAAACTCAACCAGAATCCACA